GGATCACCTCCATGAGCTCATTCCTCTTGCTGACAACATGGCTTCTCAGAGGTAGCCCACAGGAGGACAGCTCCTCAAACCGCACCCTCTGCCAAGACCGGGAGCCTCTCAAGAGTGCCTTGTCGTGCTCGCCACCACCAGCCTTTCAGGCCACAGCCTTCGGAGTCTTCTGTGGATCTCCATCTTCCTTAAGCCCCTGAACCTGCTCTATTATGGAATTTGGGCCTTTGTTTCCTCCTCTCAGAGTTCTTCTTGCTTGTTCACATCAATGAAGCCAGCTGCCATATTGTGACTACTCCATGGACAGGCTCATGTGGCAAGGAACTGAGGGCGGCCTCGGGACACATGGCCCACGAGGAGCTGACCCCTGCCAGCAGCCACATGTGTGAGCTGGAGACAGATTCCTCCCCAGCTGAGCCTCGGGGTGAGGACATTCCCGGCCAACACCTTGATTGCAGAGGGCAGCTAAGCCATGCCTCAATTCCTGACCCACAGAAACTGAATGAGCTCCAGCAAACCATTGTCAAGCAACAGAGATAGTGGGCATCCTGATCTTGTTCCTCAGCTGTAAGGAAATGAATCTAGGAGTTCACTTCACTATTCAGGATGACAGGTTTGGTTTTTTCATCAAATATATACTGTATTTGTCAATGCTCTACAAAGAAACAGAACCAATAGAGAGAGAAAGAGAGAGAGAGAGAGAGAGGCGCGAGAGAGACTTTTTGTTGTTTATTTTTGTTTTCGTTTTTGAGATGGAGTTTTGCTCTTGTCACCCAGGCCAGAGTGCAATGGTGCGATCTCAGCTCACTGCAACCTCCACCTCCCGAGTTCAAGCAATTCTCCTGCCTCAGCCTCCTGACCTGGAATTACAGGCATACACCACCATGCTCGGCTAATTTTTGTATTTTTAGTGGAGACGGGGTTTCACCATGTTGGCCAGGCTGGTCTCATACTCCTGACCTCAGATGACCCACCCACCTTGGCCTCCCAAAGTGCTGGGATTATAAGCGTGAGCCACTGTACCCAGCCAAGACATGTATTTTAAGGAATTAGCTCAACATGGTGGAGGCTTGGTGAATCCAGAGTCTGATGGGGCAGGCTGGCATGCTGGAGACCGAGGGAGGAGTGCAGTCCAATGGCACTCTGCCAACAGAATTCCTTCTTGCTGCAGGGAGGTCAGTCTTTGGTCTATTAAGGTCTTCAACTGATTGGTTAAGGCCCACCCACATGGTGGAGGATAACCTACTTTACTCAAAATCCACTAATTTATTTATAATTATTATTATTGTTATAGAGACAGGGTCTCACTTTACTGCCTACACTGGTCTTGAACTCCTGGCTTCACACGATCCTCTTGCCTCAGCCTCCCACAGTGCTGAGATTACTGGCATGAGCCACTGCACTCAGTCCAAAATCCAGTAATTTAAATGCTCACCTCCCTTCACAGAAGCACCTAGAATACTTTTAAACCAAATCTCTGGGCACTGGAGCACAGCCAAGTTGACACATAAAACGAACCAGCACAGTTACCTACATTAAGTTATGCAGATGCCCTAATTTATTAACACCTGTTCATAATTTCCGAGTTTGTGTTGAATTTTATCAAGCAATTACTTTTATATTATTGTTCTCATTTGTTTATACATTGCTTTAAAAAATTGTAAATTTTCTAATATAAAAGCATTCTTGCATAGTTGAGATAAATCCAACTCGCTGAGGAAAAGGGAGCGTCTCTCAGTCCATCTTGCTCGCCGTTCCCCTGCCCACAGCCTGTGGTGAGCAGAGGGCAGAGTGCCAGCCGTGTCCTGGGACTGTTGACAGATAGCCTGCTGTCTTCCTGTCTCTGGGCTGGCCCTGGGAGGGGCCGACAGGCTGCAGGAAAAGCACTGTGCAATTTACATTGATGCCTTTGTGTGGAGGCCTGACAGCTGCTGGAGTCACGGTCCTCACCCAGGTCAGCGTGGGGCTGAGAGGGCCTCCGGGTGCTCAGGTAGTCAGGGGCTGGGGTGACAGCAGCTAGTGGGGGGCGGGTGTATGAGACAGATAAACACCCACGCTCACATGCCAGGTGTGGCTTTGAGCCTCAGCCCAGCCACTCTCCTCAGCTGTCTGGCTGGCTTTATTGGAAGTTCACCAAACGGAAAAGGTCTCTTTTTTTTCTACTGTGCTGGCTCGCTCTCCAGAGTGCCTGCAGTTGGCCAAACCCTGAGGTTGGAAGCACAGTCCTCCAGACCACCACATCTTCCTGGACGTCTGACCTCTGCAGCAGAGGTTACCAAACTGTCCTGTCCGAGGGAACAGTCCCCACAAGACTGCCCCAACTTCAGCCACCAGTCTCAAGTTCAGAGTCCCCAGGGCCACCTTCACTTCAGACCAGCTGGCTACAAAAATTGGGGGTGCTTACAAGCATCCTCAGCTTCAGTAATTTTCTAGGGTGACTCACAGAACTCAGGAAAGCACTAAACTTATGATTACAGTTTTATGATCATGAAAAGATACAAATGAAAATCAGCCAAAGGAAGAAGCACTTAGGGCAGAATCTGGGAGGGGTCCAGTCGCAAGCTTCCAGGGAGGCGTCCTCTCCCTTTGGGGTTCTGGACAGCATTGCCTCCTCTGGGCCACAATGTGTGAGGATACGCACAGGGCGTTGTCCACGAAGAAAGTCTACCTGAGCTTTTGGTGCCCAGAGGCTTTACTGAGGCTTGATCAGATGCTGCCTGTGTGATGGACCTTTAGTCTCCAAAGCCCCCCAGCAAACAAAGACACTCCTGTCAGACAGGACATTCCAGGACCCACAGGTCACCTCCCACTAGCCAAGGGCAGAGGCTGGACCTCTCTTTGGGTGAGGTTAATTCTAAACTGTGAATAGGGCATGCAACAAAGTCAGTGACCAAAGACGCAGAGTGGTGTGGCTGTCAGAAGCTCCAGTCCTGGATCCGCCACCTTTGAGGTTAGCAAGTTACTTAATCCCTGTGGACGCCTACCGGCCAGAGGCCATCAAGAACAGCCCCGCAGTCAAGCAAATTTGAGTTAGTTGGTACCCACTGCACTAAGAAGACTGCACACTAGGGGGCAGCGCAGAGTCTCAGTAAGTGTGTTGTGGGGGTGAGGGGGTGCTTATTGAAAGATTTGGGCGTTTGTAGGAGTGATATTAGGAAATGTTCAAGGAAGCAAAGTGTTGCTCTGGATTGGGTGCTGTTGGGGAGTGGGGTGAGTCTACAATTGGGGATCTTCACAATTTGTATCCAGGAGGTGGAAGAACAGGGGAGGTACGAAAAGCCTGGCAGGGAAACAGCAGTCTCTCGTGTGAAACAGGAGAGGGCACTGTTTGGCCATTTTTGTGGTTTCACGGTGACCTCGTTTTTTTGTCCATGCTCAGGCATATTTATGGAGTGGCCTTGATTCTGTCCTGCTGCATCATGGGGGCACGGTGACCCTGCCTGACACGGGTGCTCTGTGAAGTTTGTGTGCATCAGGCAGACACCAGGGCCCAGCAGACGAGTCACAGGATGCTTTGTTCTGTTCCTTTCCCACCCCTGAGTTTCATTACTGATAACACGGAGACGGTAATTCTACCTAACACATTAGGCAGCTGTGAGAATTAAGGGGAATAATGTAAAATGCCCAGCATAAAATAAAACACAACAGCCAGTCAATTCCCATATCATTGTTAAAAAAAATCAAAGTCTGTGATAAAATGGAAAAAGTGAAGAATCAAAATAAAGCCAAATGCAGAAGAGGCACAGGGAAGGAAGCTGAGCGAGGACATCAGATGAGGGCAGTCCCTGAGCCAAGATCTGTCCCGAAGCTCCCACTGCAACCCCCACCTGGGGCCAGGTGTGTGTGTGTGTGTGTGTGTGTACACGTGTGCATGCACCCTTGCATGAGGGAGGTAAGAAATGTGCCAGCAGCTGGCTGTTGTGGCTCATGCCTGTAATCCCAGCACTTTGGGAGGCTGAGGCAAGAGGACTGCTTGAGTTCACGAATTCAAGACCAGCCTGGGCAACTTGGTGAGACCTCATCTCTACAAAAATTTTTTTTTCAAATTTAGCCAAGTATGGTGTTACATGCCTGTAGTCCCAGCTACTTGGGAGGCTGAAGTGGAAGGATCACTTGAGCCCAGGAAGTTGAGGATGCAGTGAGCCATGATTGCACCATTGAACTCAGCCTGGGTAACAGAGTATGATGAGATTCTATCTAAAAAAAAAAAAAAAAAAAAGGTTTACATACCATAATCAAATGGAAACTGCCCCAGGAATGCAAAGTTGGTTTAATATCCAAAAACCAATTAATGCAATAGAGTACATTAATAAAATACAGGACAAAACCACATGATCATGCCCATATACACAGAAAAATCAGTTGACAAAACCTAACACCCTTTCATCATAAAACACTCAATAAACTAGAAATAAAAGAGAACTTTCTCAACCTGATAAAGGATGTCTAAGAAAAACCCACAGTTAAAAATCACACTAAATGGTGAGAGACGTATGCTCTCCTCTCAGTGTCAGGAACGAGACAAGATGTCTGCTCTTGAAACGTGTATTCATCATTGCACTGGTCAGGGCAATTGGGAAAAATAAATAAAAGGCATTCGGATCAGAAAGGAAGAAGTAAAACCATCTCTATTTGAAGATGGCATGATCTGTCTACAGAAAATTTTAAGAAATCTGCAAAAGTACTAGAGCCGGTAAACAACTTCAGCAACACTGTGGAATACAAGATCAATATTTAAAAATCCATTGTATTTCTATAAAATAGCAATGAATAATCTAAAATGAAATTAAGAAAATAACTCCACTTATAAACAAGAATAAAATATTTAGGAATAAATTTAAACAAGTATAAGACTTGCATACTGAAAGCAGGAGGAGAAAGAGGAGAAGGACAAGGAGAGGAGGAGGAGGATGAGGAGCAGGAAGAAGATGGGGAGGCAATGTATTCAGGATATCTTGTGATTCCTGAGGCCTGAAGCCACCTGTCAGGTCAGGCATCCCCTGTCCTTCCTCTTCCTACTCCTGATCTGCCGCCTCTAGCTTGCACCTCAAATCTATTCTGCTCAGGCATGGAAGTAATTGTGGTGTGAAAGTCTGCCTGGTTGGACCAGCTGTTCCACACACTGGCCTGGCGAAGTTATTTTCAACTCTTCTCAAGCCAGCCATGAACGTAAGGGAGAACTCTGCACTGGATGCAGTTCCCTCTGGGCAGTGAGACCAGCTGCAGAGGTCACCCAGGCCTGGGAGTGCCTAGAACTCCAGCCGGGAAGGCCTGTGGCTGAGCCCAGCTGCAGATCAGGTTATGCCCGCAGGCCCTGGAGGGTCAGATTGTGGCCCTCAGGGTCCTGGGGGCTCTGAGCAGCCTCAGGTCTGTGCCCCTGGAGGCCTCGCCTCTAGGGCCCGGTGCTTCAGTGCGGTCCTCAGGGCCTGCAGGATGGCACCCTGGCTGGTCTGCACGTTGTAGTCGCTGAGCCGTAGCAGGCGCTCGAAGTCTTCCTCCTTGTAGGTCATGTTGGACAGGGCGTACGGGGAGGTAGCCCCAGTGAGATTCACTTGGCCAGCCTGGAGCTCTGCGGGGCTGCGCTGGACACCTGCCCAGGGGTGAGAGGGGTGTCAGGAGCAGAACGCCGGGGTCTCCACAGCCTGGCAGCAGCGCACAGGGAGGGCTGCCCCCACTGGAGGAGCCCCTGCTTTCCTCCCAGCAATCTGTGTCCTTTGCCCAGGGATGTAAGTGTGGGTGGCAGGGTGCTTTTTGGAAGGATACTATTTGGTGGTAGAAAATACAATTTCATATTTTGTTGCCTTGCAGCGTGACACTCCTTAGGCTATTCTGGCAGCCCCACATGTCTGTACATTTCTTCGAGGCAAGGTGGAAACAGCCAGAAGAGGGAAGTCAACTGGGTTTGTGAACAGATTCTTAGGACTCACAGTGGAAGCAAGGGGGCAGCGAGAACTTGCTGAGAGATGAAGGTTCTTTAGAATTCTCAGATGTGGGCTGAGCATGTTCAGAGGAAAGCTGGGAGATCTAGAATGATGGTGGGAACCGGAAAGCTGGGAATATCGCACAAAGACGGCAATGAGTTTTTCCCACCAGAAGGAAATAAAATTCTGACCAGTTGGTGAGAAGAGAGGATAAGAAGGAATGTGATGGGGGTTTAAATTTCGGGAGCCCCTGAGGAGAGGCCCATCTCCTTGAGAAGGGGCCCAGCCTGGGCTGGGGAAGGATGATGGAGAGGCCGACTGAGTTTCCCACAGAGCGGGAAAGCAGAGGAGCCCCGGGCAGCTGGGGGCACTAGGGCAGGTGGAAGGCCGCAGGAGCCCGGCGTCATGACAAAGGGGACCACTGCATAGTGACCCTGCAAACAGAGGGCCTGCCGGGATGAGGGCATCAGCGAGGAGGCCAGGGTGGGCTCTAAGGTCTGGGTGGGCCTGGATGGGCCTGTCCTGAAGCCTTCTCCTGGCAGACTCACTTCCCTTCCCTCTGCTGGGCGGCGGGGGGCCCAGGGCAGGCCTCTGAGGGGCCAGACAGCCTGGGTGCTTGGGAGGGGATGCCTCACCGGGAGCTGAGTGGTCCTTGAAGGAGGCATTGACCAGCGGGAAATGCAGCAGGATCGGGGCCTCGGGGCAGGCAGGGTCTGAGAAGAGGTGGCACTCCCTTGGCTGCTGGTGGTCCTGAGGGCTGGGTTCCACCCGGGGGAAGGGCAGCCCCCGGGCCCGGCAGTACAGCTCTGTCTGCTGCAGCGCCTGGTGGGGAGAGGGTGGCCCGGAGAGAACCAGCCCGGCCCAGGTCAGTGCTGGGCCAGTTCCAGCACACACCAGCTGCCTGTGTCAAGACAACGGCCTGGCTCTGTCCTGTCAGTGGTCAGGCCAAGCTGCAGAGTGACTCGGAGGGAGACCCAGGGGGAGTCCAAGGACTCTGGTGGCCTGCAATGTTGCTTGGTTAAAATCTCTAGGTGGGGTACAGACCCACCCCCAGCCCCCCAAACTCCAACTCTGGATTGCTATTGCTGGATTGTTCAAATCCTGGAGCCGGGAGGGGACCTGCATTTGCACGGCGTCTCAGGGGAGGTGTGGGGGATGGACATGGAGATGCGAGGGTCTCCTCTCTGCTCTGTCCAGCTGTTCTTTGGAGGAGGTGTGGGGAGTTCCCTCCCTGTTCACCTGGCCTGGGAGCCCAAGGCCCCTGCACCACCACAGCCCTTCCCACCTGAGGACCCTGGCAGGAGCCAGCAGATCAAGGCCTGACACCCCTCCTTCCCTTCGGGACCCAGGCGGTGTGGGGCAGTAGGTCAGTGGCCCTGCTGTCTGCCTCTGGAGCTTGGCCTGGCTGGGCAGAGGGGTTCCCCTGGGGTGACCAGCGTACCTCAAAGGGCGCAGATAGAGAGTAGTCGAAGGAGAGGATGAGGTCCAGCCTGCGGCCCGGCCGGAACATGGAGGGACAGCTGGTGTTGATGAAGTAGCCAGCGTCCACCAGGCAGAGCTGGGGCTCCTGGGGAGTCAGCTGGCTGGGCGTGGAGTCAAGCTGGCAGTCTGGTAGGAATTGCAGGATGGTCAGGGGCCACCACCCTGCCACAGGTCATCCATGTCCCCTTCTCTCCTCTGGGTCACTCCCTGAATGCCACCAGTCCTTCCCCAGGACCTTCCAAGAGGATCTTCTCCAGGCCATACCCCAGAAATGGATGCTGACCTCCTAGGCTTCGGCCAGTCCCTGCCACACCACCCAGAGGCCCAACCTTGTGACCTAAGGACCCCTGGCCGCGGCCCTGACCTGCCCAGGTGGAGAAGCCTTTGTGGCTGCAGTAGTCCTGGTGTAGCTGGAGGCCCTGGAGGAAGTTGGGGCTGCACTGGTGGAGGGGCCTGCCGGTCAGGAACCCTTTAAATGCCTGGGCCAGCGCCGTGCCCGGCTGCAGCCATGAGGCCTCCAGCCACGAGGTCTCCAAGGAGGTCAGGGGCTCCTTCTCTGAAGCCAGAGAAACAGACATTGGACCCTTCTTCCCCTCACTTCTTCCCCTCAGACACCGCACACGGCAAGCAGAGTCTGAAGGAACAGCATCATCCCAGGCCCCTCAGTGCCCCCACCCTTCCCACCTAAGCTCCTGGTCTTGTCCTTGATGTGCTGTTTCCAGGACTCCCCAGAGCTGGTGAGGTCATACCAGGCGTCCAGCAGGTTCAGGGAGAAAACGTTGCTCCAGATGGCTGAGGGAACCCCAAGAGAGGTCAGCCTCAGGCCTCAGCCAGCGGCCCCACCCTCGGGTGCTGATGGAAAATGGGAGTGGGGAGAGGGCTGCCCCTACCGTGTACCGCCCCCCGCCACCTACCCCTCCCCCTCATCCTGAGGTTCTGCCCCACCTGAGCTACAGGACCCATGTCCATTCAGACGCCTGGCCTAGGGCTGCCCAGGGCCTTCAGAGCCACCACTCTCACCTTCCAGAAAGCAGATCCGGGGCTCCGGGATCCTCCTCATCAGCCGTCCCATGAAGAACTTGGAGCCGAAGAGCTCAGGAGGGACGAAGGCTCCGTACTTCAGGAACCCGACCTCATAGGGGGAGAACTCAACCCACTCTAATGGGGTGGGAGGGAGAGGCAGGAGTGTGAGGGGAGTGGATTACAGAAGCCCCAGGTCTGGCCAAAGATACTACCCCTGCCCCCAGCAGGCCCGAGCCTCGCTGTGCCTGACGCCAATGCAGCAGATGTAAGCAATGTGCACTCTTGGGCTGACCACACCCTTCCCAGCCCTTGGTCCACACCCTCAAGCACTCCCTACTGCCAAACACAGAGAGCGGCCCTGAGTCCCTCAGGACTCAGGAAGGTTGGGCAATCTGTGCAGAGCTTCCAGTGTGAACTCTCTGGGGACTCTCGGGGTACAGAGGATTTGGAGGGTGGAGTATGAGGAAGGGGGAGTGGGTAGAACCATACCCTTGAAGTCCAGCGTCTCCAGATTGTTCTCTTTGACATTGAGGCTCAGGTAGAGGGGCAGAGGGTTCTGACCCCGTTCCAGGGCGGCTCTCTGTCCTGACAGCTTCTGATCCATCACCTGGGGCCAGAGGGCATCAGGGCCTAAGTGAGGCTGGGAGTGTCCTGGAGACAGCGGCTCCACCAGGACGGGGGCAGGATGGGGGACCAGGCTGGGGGTGAGGAGGCACCTCCTCCCGTGGGATCTGGGGACCATATGTGGGTCAGTTCCCACTCGTGCCCCCGTGTTCCGACCAGCCCCAGATGCAGGGTCGCTGGACAGAGCATGCAGGCTGTGCACTGTCAATCTCCAGCGAGGGCCATTCACAGGGACTACAATGCCAGCAGTGCTTCCAGGCCCATCTTCGTGGGTTTAAGGGTGAAGTGGGTGTGGATACTGACACACAGACACAAGGACACATGCACATATACATGCATTGCTTCGCAGAAAGGACACAGCAATGCCCTTTTAGCATATACCGAAGCCTATGCCAGGGATGGATTGCCTCCTCTTCTAGCTTCTCCTTAATGCAGTTCAAGTTTCAGCCCCTCCCGAATGCTTTCCTTACATCCTTGCCTCCCCCTTATTGTCCCTCTTATTTCTGGCTTTGCACAGCATGAGGTTATACCCCGTTGTTTATTCTTGCCTTCTGTTCTTAATTTCCTCTTCAATAGAGCTCCAAGCTCTGTCTTTGTTTTATCTTATTTTGAGATAGGGTTTCACTCTCTCACCCAGGCTGGAGTGCAGTGATGCAGTCTTGGCTCACTGCAACCTCCGCCTCCCAGGCCCAAGTGATCCTCCCACCTCAGCCTCCTGAGTAGAGTAGCTGGGACTACAAGTTACATTTGGCTAATTTTTGTATTTTTTGTAGAGATGGAGTTACACCATGTTGCCCAGGCTGGTCTCAAATTCCTGAGCTCAAGCAATCCATCTGCCTTGGCCTCTCAAAGTGCTGGGATTACCGGCATGAGGCACCACCATCCACGGCCCAAGTTCTTTGATGGCAACGACTATAGCTTGCCTTTTGGGGGAGCCTCCACAGAGCCTCCCTGAATTGTGGGGGAACAGAAAGACCTCATTCTATGCTGAACTAGAGTTGCAAATGGAGCTCTTCCCAAGCACCAGCAAGGCTAATGGTGCTGCCTGCTGGGAGCACCACCTTGGGAAGGATTCTGCCGCCAGAGCTGAGGTTGATGCCTTCAGCCCTGAGCTGTTTGTACTGGGCAGTACATGTACCAGTACATGTCATCCTTCCTTTGGGCTCTCCAAGCTGAAGAGTGTCTAGTTCTAGACGCTCCCAACCTGCCACAGCAGCCCTTATCATCAGATTGACTCAGTGAATGTGTACATGTGAGAGCATGTGAAGCATGCGGACCTCTGGGTCTCCACTGAGAATCAGCCTGTCACAAGTCACTTTGGAGTTTGCCTTTTAAAAACCCGCAGATGATCCTGATGGCCAGCCAGGTGTGAGGATTCCTACCCAGCCTACTCAAGGAGGGTCCCTCTCCCACATCCATGGCAAAACCCAACACACCCAGTGTGTGTGTCCTCCTCGCTGGCAGCTCATCTGTCCCTGACGAGAACACTCATGTGTCAACCAGTCGTTTTTCCACCCCATTCTTCAACGGTCCCCAGTATGAGTTATAGGGAATTTGCAGGAAATCTCTAAATAGGGCTCAATCCCCTGCCATGGATGGTGGTGGTGTATGGACAAGTCAGTCCTTAGGTACAAATGTGTGTATGTGATCCCTTCTCAAAATCTTTTTATTTAGAAACTCTGTTGCTCTTTTGATACATAGGATGAGGGAAAATGTGTCCTTTTACTACAGTTGCACAATTTATGCCCTAGGGAAAGTTCTGGAAAAAGATCAGCACACCCCTGTATCTACTGAAACAGCACCCACCCAGTATATCTAATGGCTCACCAGTAAGCTGCAGCAGGACTCTCAGTCTCTAACCCCCCAGTTTCCAAGTGAGTAACCCCAACCCTGCAGAACACCGTTCTGATGATTCGAGGGTCCCATAGGAAACGCTGGAGCTTGGTGCAGTACTGGCAATGCAGACTAAATGGAAGGCAAGTGTGTCAGCTCTTAACTCAGGAAAGGATAAGAGAACCACTCTGAGTTTCTCCTTGAGGAATGATGAGCAGCTTCTAAGCAGTTCGGTACTTGCCAGCAAAAGACTGAAGAAAAAAGTTTCAAAGAGATGAGAGTTTGAGAAGCACTGATTATAGCTAGTGTATTTTATGAGTGGGTTTTTATAAAAACCTAATCAATATTAAAGATGTATGTAGGCTAATAAAGTCATTCTGAGCAAAGTTTCAGGGTATGATATTCATTAATATTAATGAAATTGTGATTTGTCATAAATGGAGTTATATTTTCTGACATTGTAAAGTGACTTTTGGTACTTTAGATTATTACATTATAGAGGAAATAAATACCTGTTTTTATCTAACATCTTTAAAAAATTAGAAATAGACACTAAAATTGCCTGAATAAAACATTATTTTATAAAGTCTACAATGAATGTTAGCTTTAAGAGGTAAGGTATGATAAACAGAAGAAAAAAACAATAAATTGAAAACCTTTCCTATTGGGACAAAATTTTAAAAATAGCATAGGTGCTTTTTTTTTTTTGAGATGGAGTCTCGCTGTGTCACCCAGGCTGGAGTGCAGTGGCGCGATCTCGGCTCACTGCAAGCTCCGCCTCCCAGGTTCACGCCATTCTCCTGCCTCAGCCTCCGAGTAGCTGGGACTACAGGCGCCTGCCACCACGCCCGGCTAGTTTTTTGTATTTTTTAGTAGAGACAGGGTTTCACGGTGTTAGCCACGATGGTCTCGATCTCCTGACCTCGTGATCCACCCGCCTCGGCCTCCCAAAGTGCTGGGATTACAGGCTTGAGCCACCGCGCCCGGCCGCATAGGTGCTTTTTTTGAGATAGAGTCTCACTCTAAAGCCCAGGCTGGAATGCAGTGGCATGATTACATGATTACAGCTCACTGCAGCCTCAACCTCCCAGGTTCAAGCGATCCTCCCGCATTAGCCTCCTGAGTACCTGGGACTATAGGGGTGTGCCACCACGCCCAGCTAATTTTTAAATTTTTTGTAGAGACGGGGTCTATGTTGTTCAGGTTCATTTTTAAGAATATATAGGTATCTAATAATACCACAAGCATTTCTATTTTTGTGAACAATTAAAAAATTGTCTTCTAAAAATGTCTATAAAGCTTACATACAAAACTATGCATTAAGTCATTACTGGAGGATCCAATGGTAATTAAATAAAAGTCTGCTGTATAGCCTAGAATCAAACTGCATTTTCTAGCACCTTGTAAAGGGAACTGTTAAAACAAGCTTCTCCCATTCTATAATAACTAACTGCTGCCACCCAGCAGGAAAGTCAGTTATTAAAACACAACACCATCAAAACTGAATATGAACTTAAACAGTAGATCCAAAGACTACATAGCACATAGTGATAAAATGAAAATGTTTCTAGTAATTATGTTGGCTTTATAAATTCAATGCCATTTCAATAAAAATCCCAACAACATTTGTCACAAAACATGACTAGGTGATTCTATCATATAATTAGAACAGCAGGCCAGGTGTAGTGGCTCACACCTGTAATCCCAGCACTTTGGGAGGCTGAAACAGGTGGATCACTCAAGGCCAGGAGTTGAAGGCCAGCCTGGGCAAAGTGGTGAAAAACCATCTCTACTAAAAATACAAAAATTTGCCGGGCATGGTGGTGTATGCCTGTAGTCCCAGGTGCGTGGAAGGCTGAGGCACAAGAATCACTTGAACCCAGGAGGAAGAGGTTGCAGTGAGCTGAGATTGTGCCACTGCACTCCAGCCTGGGTGACAGAGCAAGACTCTGAGGAAAAGAAGGGAGGGAGGGAGGGAGAGGGAAGGAAGGAGGGAGGGAGAGGAGGGGAGGGGAGGGAGGGAAGGAAGGAAGGAAGGAAGGAAGGAAGGAAGGAAGGAAGGAAGGAAGGAAGGAAGGAAGGAAGGAAGGAAGGAAACAGCAAAGGGGCAAGTACAACCAAGAGAATACTGAAGAAGAATTCAAGTGGACTGGTAACTTGGCCTATCAGACACCAAGATTTATCACAAAACTTTAGTCAGTGTGCTATTGGCATAGGGATAGAGAATCTGTCCTGTCGGAACAGAATAGGGCACTCAGGAAGAGTCCCGGGAATATAAATATATGAAAAATATATGAAACCTGATATATGACAAAACTAGCAATGCAGATCAGTGGAGAAAAAATTCAGTAGATGAGACTGGGAAAATGTGTTATTAACATGAGAAAAAACAAAGTTGGATCCCTAGCCACATGATACCTGGAGAAAAATTCTGGGTGGATTAAAGTCCTATTAATAAGAAATAAATCTTTTAAAAATTTTATAAGAATATATAGAAAGATATTTTATAACTTTGGGGGAGGGAAAAGGAAGACTCCCCAAAATACAAACCATAAAGGAGAATGATAAATTATATTATACTAAAATTATGCATTAAAACCATTAGAACTGATGAGGGTTCACATCAAAAATATATAAAGAATTCCTGCAAAAAATATGAAAAAGACAAATTAAACAGGAAAATGAAAAGGGGTTTGAATAGGTAATTCATGGAAGAGGAAGCGCAAATGATAAATATACTTAAAAACATAAACTGTCTAACTAAAATTCAAAGAAATGCTAAATGATAAATGTTCCTTTCACACCCCATAGTTAAACAAAAATTTAAAAGTCTGCCCAAGATACAGAGAAAAAGCAACTATTATACACTGGTAGTGGGAGTGTGAATTAACACAACTCCTTTGGAGAATGGTTTGGCAATAGGTAGGAAAGTTGAAGGTGCACAAACCCAGTAGCCCAACAATTTAACTACTGGGTATGTATCTTGGAGGCTTAGAGAATCTCTAATGCAGGTGTACAAGGAGACTTGTACAAAATTGTTCATGCAAATAGTATCATATTTTTCTTAAGGATATATATGTTAAAATTTGTGAACTGGAAAACCTGGAAGAAATAGATAAATTCCTGGACACATTCAACCTACCAAGATTGAACCATGAAGAAATAGAAAAGCTGAACAGACCAATAACAAGCAATGAGATTGAACCAGTAATAAAATGTCACCCATTAAAGGTAAGTCAAGGACCTGATGGCTTCACTGCTGAATTCCACCAAACATTTAAAGAACTAATACCAATTCTACTCAAACTATTCGAAAAAATTCAAGAGGAGAGAATACTTCTAAAGTCATTATCCAAGTCCAGGACTACATTGATACCAAAGCCAGATAAGGACACAAACAAAAAAAGAAACCTACAGGCCAAGATCCCTGATGAACATAGATGAAAAGTTCTCGACAAAATACTATCATACCAAATTCAGCAACATATCAAAAAGATTATTCACCATTGATCAAGTGGAATCCATCCCAGGAATGCAAGGATAGTTCAACATACACAAATCAATAAGTGTGATACATCACATCAACAGATATAGTTGGGATCAGTGCCCTGGTTACATAATCAAAAATGCCTTCCCAAGTCTCACCTTGTTCTTACCTCTCCTAGAACCTTTGAGAGCTATCTTTTTATTATTAATCTTTGGCCCTTGCTTGATTAACCTCTTAGTAAAGTTTGTGTCTTTTAGATTACAGTAGTTCCAGGTAAAGTCAATGCTGGTACAAGGCTTCCAATCCATCTTGCCTACTGACCAGGAGAATTAAAGTGTTCTGCCTACGGGCCCCTTAGGTCGCGTATCCAGAGATTTTTACTCCTCTGGTGCTTGGCCAGGGCCTACGCCCATAACATAAGCAGGAAGCAGTTACAGAAGACAGATTTTCACCCTTCTGCAGCCCTGTTAAGATTAAGGAGGAGGGTCTAATCTCTGAGACAGGAATGAGATAGGAGGCGGGGCTCAACTCTGGAACCAGATTGGAGACTGGCTGAAACAGGGAAGGGCTGAAAGCACCTCTCCATAAGACATGCTCACCAGTATCATGACAGTTTACTCATTCCCCGGCAACAACCTGGAAGTTACCACCCTTTTTCTAGAAATTTCTGAATAACCTACTCCTTAATTTGCATGTAATTAAAAATGGGTATAAATGTGACTGTGGAACTGCCCCTGGGATGCTGCTCTGGACACATGGCTGATGGGTGCCCTGCTCTGCAGGAGCAGTCACAGAGCTGTAACACTGTGCCCTTGATAAAGCTGTTTTTCTACCACCAGCTAGCCCTTGAATTTCTTCCTGGGGGAAGCCAAGAACCTCCATGGGTGGAACCCCAGTTTTGAGGCTCCCTTGCCCTGCAAAATGATGATAAACCTAAATTCAGGATGGTGTTTGCCCCTGGGGGCAGGAGGGAAATAGGACTGGGGAGGGAATACAAAGGGCTTTAACTGTATTTGTAACATTTCATTTCATAGGCTGGTTGGTAAGGTCATGCATATTCATTATGTCATTATGGTTTATTCAATGTCTTAGGTGTGAAGTTTCATAATAAGTAAAGATTGAGATTTGCATAATAAATATTTATAGCTAATACAAAAAATAAGGATGGCAGTTTCTAAGCAGTGTTGTACTTAATCGGTAAGAAAAATATTTAAAGAAAAAATTTCAAGGCAAATTCATTTTTGGTTAGTTTACATGATAATCATTCTTTTTAAATTCCTTCTATATAAATTTATTTTTATACCCATTAACCAATTTTTCTTTGTCCTCTCCCATGATAATCATACTTGATCAAACTCCTGACCCAAAGATAAAGATGAGTCCTTCTGCTACTAATATTTTCCTTACATTTTGTCTTTTCATTGTTTCAAATGCTTTTGAAACTTTGTTCAGATAGTTATGTGCGGTAAAACAATAGTGTGAAAAAATAGCTGATTTTAATAATTGTATCAGTGTAAAGTTCAGCAGTTAACTTACCAAGCTTTCCCTCAAGGAGCACTGTAATGTTTTTAAAAAATGAATGTTTAGTTTTGTCTTGATGCTGTTAGAATAAAGAAAAATAGCTGACACTTCATGCTTATTCTATGCTGAGGTATCACTGAGTATTCCGAACAGCTCTATAACTTAAGAACCGTTGTTATCCCCATTGTACGGATCAGAAAACGGACATACAGAGAAGTTAAATAACTTGCCTAAGGACACACAGCTAGAAAGAGATAGTGGGGTTAGAACTCAGGCAATCTGGTTCCAGAGTTTGTGCTTTTAACACCACCCTGAAGATGAAGAAGAACAGTACGTTTCATATTGCAGGATAAATAAAAATGGTTCTAGCAATCTTACCCACTTAAAACAAAAGCTTTGTTTGCTTGACTGACTTTGACACTGACTCATTCCCAGCTTTTGGGAGATCCAGAAATTTCTGTTTTATAGCAGCTAATTAAAGAATCTGCTAACTCAGAAAGGCAGCATTCCAAAGTCAGGCAGACACTAAAACACAGGGTCTTCCACGCTGCAGGAAATGCGCATGCGCATGTCGGCTGCCCGGGCGCTCTGCCTTTGCCCCCACGGTGCACACACGCTTCTCCCCACGTGCTCAGGCGCCCTACCTGGCCGTGCAGCATGGACTCCAGCACTAGCGCCCACAGGTCCACAAAAGATGTGGGGTGGCCCTGCTCAGCCCGCAGCTCCAGCTCCCGGCGGTAACTCGCCAGGCGCTCTGGGGAAAAGACCTCCAGCTTGCTCTTGGCCAGGTGCTCCCGGGCATATCGGATAGGTTCCTCCAGGTCCTTCTGCGACCACTCAGGGTCCCCGTACAGGTGGGCCATTGTCCTGGGAGAACGAGGGGACAGAACAGTAGGAGCCCGAGGCCCAGCATGGGGCGCTGCAACCCCTCCTTCCCACCCTGCAGCTTCTCCTGACGCGTGGCTTCTGCCGCCAAGGCTGGGCCGATCTGGGAAGCGGGTCTCAGGGCTGTCTCTCCTTCCAGACCGGCGCTGTCCAATATTAATACAATGTTTGCCACGCACGGAATTTAAAATTTCCTAGTAAGCACATTAAAAAGATAACAAGCCTGTAAAATTAATTTTAATATTTTATTTAATCGCTATATTAAAAAATTATCATTTCAACATGTAATCAATACAGTTACTGATGTAATTTCTATTTTTGTTTTCAAACTAAGTCTTCCAAATTCACTGTGTATTTTTTTTTTTTTTTTGAGACGGAGTCTTGCTCTGTCGCCCAGGCTGGAGTGCAGTGGGGCAATCTCAGCTCACTGCAAGCTCCACCACCTGGGTTCACGCCATTCTCCTGCCTCAGCCTCCCCAGCAGCTGGGACTACAGGCACCCACCGCCATGGCTGGCTAATTTTTGTGTTTTTAGTAGAGACGGGGATTCACCGTATTAGCCAGGATGGTCTCGATCTCCTGACCTCGTGATCTGCCCGCCTCAGACTCCCAAAGTGCTGGGATTACAGGCATGAGCCACAGCGCCCGGCCTTCACTGTGTATTTATAACACACCTCAATGTGGACTGGCTGCATTTCAAGTGGTCAATAACCACATGTGGCTACTGGCTACCATAGTGGCTTACTGTACTGGACAGCCCAGTTCTGGACCCCACTCCCATCTTCATGGTCCTGTCCTGAAGCCTTTTCACACTGTGCTTGTCAACAGCTGTCACCTAAACTCCTCTGAGGAGTTTCCTCTTCTTTTACTCCTTAAAGTCACATTTCAATAAGACTCAAAGGAACGAATCTCTAACAGCGGGATGCTGCACCTCGTCATGCTGCACGATGAGGGCGTAGGGAGGTCATGCTATCTTTAGGTAAAAATAGCATTTTGACCTCAATGTCTACACAGTCTTAAATGGACAATAAGGGAATCTACCTCGAGTGTGGTGAAGATTAAATGAAATAATAACAATGAACAATAAAAAGAGCTACCAATTAGGAACTCCTGGCTGTGCTGGGCATTAAGTTAAGTGCTTTACTTGGGTGATCCCCCCACCCCAGTCCCACGTGGTGTGCGCCATGATTGCCCCTGTTTGGAGCTGCGTCAACTGAGAATCAGAGGAGATAAGTTGCTCAGGGTCAGCCAGCCAGTAAGTGGTGCTGCCGGGACTCAGACCCAGCTGCATCTGAGCCAGCTACCTCATAGCCCTTCAGTAACATCCGGAACGCACCTCCTGCACCGCCTTGCTCACGGCAGGGCTTCTGTAAACGTCTGTTTCCTCCCTTGTGGGAAAGCTGCTTGGCTCTATCAGATCACACTGCTCACACCTACTTGGCCTCCCCACACAGAGGGTCCCTCTGGTGTCCACTCTGCCCCGCTATGGCCCCTGATCATCTCTGCCGTCCAGTCCCCCCGGATCCTCACCACGTAGAGCCCGAGACGCCACTGAAGTAGGTCACACAGTCCAGCAGGCCCAGCTTCTGCAGGGCCAACAGGTGGCCATAGAGCGAGGTCATGGCCCGGGCACCTCCTCCTGTGGCCATGATGCCCACGATGGGTACCTGGACCACATACAGACACAGGCTGGATTAACAAGGAAAGGGGCCAGCTGCCTCCTGTCTCACCCAAAGCCCTGCCCCACTCCCTGTCTGCAGGGCCCACATGGTTGAGGCCTGATAGAGTCAGGGTCAGAGCTAGGTCCAGCCTTCTTCTGGAAGCAACGGCTCTCAGCCCAGGATGGAGCTCCCAAGGGAGTTAGATCCCCAAAGCCCACCCACGCTCCCATGTCTCCCCACATATGCCCACTCTCCACTGACTGGAGTTTCTGGAGAGGCACAGGAATCAGGTACTCCCTTATGGCCAGTCCAGGATATCTGCACACACATCTCCCTGCACCCCCAGACCTCGTCCTCCTGCAGGTCTCCGTCCAGCTGCAGGGCCTGCTTCAGGGCCTTGGCCACCACCTGCTTCCTCCTGCTCAGGAAGGCCTGCTCCTCTGCACACAGATTGAAGCCCAGGTGCACGGCCAGCTCCTTGGAGCTGTGACAATGGAGGATCCAGGGGTCAGGGGACACCTGCATAGCTCAGCCACCGGCTGGCCAAGCCCACAGTGAGCTGCCAAAGAAGCCCCTCCTCCAATCTCAAGGACCACCCTTGTCCACAGCCTTCCCCTCCTGCATGCCCCCCTCTCACTGTCCCCACAGATGTGAATGTCCCTTACCAGCCCTCTGCCTTGAGCTGCAGCCTCACTCCTGGGACCTGAAATCAAAGCCAGAGACCCTGCTCAGACCCTCCTAGACCCTAAGCAGCACATAGGTATCCCCTGGGGTCTTGGTCCCCTTCATCTTCTTTTTTTTTTTTTTTTTTTAAGATGGAGTTTTGCTCTTGTTGCTCAGGCTGGAGTGCAGTGGTGCAATCTTGACTCACCGCAACCTCCGCCTCCTGGGTTCAAGTGATTCTCCTGCCTCAGCCTCCAGAGTAGCTGGGATTACAGGTATGTGCCACCATGCCCAGCTAATTTTTGCATTTTCAGTAGAGACAGTATTTCCCCATGTTGGCCAGGCTGTTCTCGAACTCCTAACCTCAGGTGATCCGCCTGCCTTGGCCTCCCAAAGTGCTGGGATTACAGGCTTAAGCCACCGAGCCTAGCCTTATCTTCATTCTTACTGTCATTTCCCATCCAGTTGAGGCCACTTACATCTTGAGCAGGAACATCCATGGTCACCTCCTTCCCGATCAAAGGCCTCAGGGGCACAGTGAGGCGCCGAGCTGAGTTGTCCCCATTCCAGACATTGCTTGTGGAGCTCTGGAGGGAAAGCATCATTCATTCATTCAACAAATCCCTACTGAGTATCTAGACTGTAATCCAGGCAGACATAGTCTCTCCCTGATAATACAGAATATTATAATATTGATAAGTATCATAACTATAAAATTATAAGAGCTAACATTTATGTAGTATAAAGGCATTGTTCTCACTGAACAGCATGTGTAAATTTATAAAGACATGGGTAATGAACTGATGTTAGTAAATGTCGTGAAGGAAATAAGTGGTGTGATATGACAGTTTCTAATGCAACCAAAAGTGGAGTGCGTGGGGTTTATTTGAGGTAGGGGTCAAGGAGGACCCTCTGAAGAGGCACCATTTGAGCTAAGATGTTGAGGAGGAGGAGGAGGCAGTCTTGGAAGGAGCCAGTGGGGGACAGGAGAGCACCTGGCATGTTGGAAATGAGAGAGGAGACAAGGATGGCTGATGCATCGTGCATGGGGGGAGTGTGGAACAAAATGAGGCGGCAGAGGTGGGCGGGTGCCTTGTGGGCACAGATGTCATGGCCTTGTGGGCACAGATGTCATGTCTTATTCTAAGGGTATCACTGGAGGGGCTGCTGGAGGATTCAAAGATTGATATGGTGCAGCAACCCCATGGCCACTCTGGCCCCTGGTGGTCCTCCATGTCTGCCAAGGGTGAGGTACCTAACTAGGGAGGCTGACAAGGCCACAGGGGCCTTGGCCCTGGTGGGCAGGGAGAGCAGGGAGGGGCCTGCAGCAGCTGGAGCTGCCCAAGCCTGGGGATTACAAATGAGGTCTAGAGCCAAGACCTACCCTCAGGCGCCCACTCAGCTCTGTCTCTAGGGCTGCCATGTAGTGGAAGCGGAAGGCAGAGGCTGTGCCCAGGGAGGATGTCTGTGTGTCCTCATAGGACCCCTTCAACTCCAGCTCCAGCTCTAACTTGTCCTGATCTAGGGAGAGAGTGGGTGGGTTAGCATGAGAACAAGAGCCCAGAGCCCTAGCTCGGACCTGGGACAGCAGCACCACCCCCCGGACTCAGAGGATGCCCGGGAGCCTGGGCCATCTGAAAAGGGCCCTTCCCAGTCCACGGGGCCCACAACCTTCCTGCCCCAGACTCCTGCCTTCTGCCACTTGCTCTCCCCCAGGTCAGGGGACCCTCCTGCCCAAAGGAGACCCATGGGCCTCTGTGCCATGTTGGTGAGAAGGGAGAGGCACGCTCTATCCTGCTGCTGGCCTCCCGCCCTGTGCAGGCTTCCCAGCAATCTTCCTCACCCCCACATCCAGGCAGAGTCCAGGCCTGGTTCCAAGCCGGTCTCACCTGCAACCACAGTGGTGCTACCTGCGCTGTCCAGATGCACATCCAGGCATGACAGCTCTCGGGCCTAGGGAAGACCACATCATGGGCAGGGGCCTCTGCAGGGTAAGCTGAGGTCCCCTCACCCTCAACCCTCTGAGCCCCACTGTCTCAAATCCACCACACACACAAGGAGTTGTGGAGTTGTGTGGGCTCAGGATGAGTTTGGCTGCAGAGGCCCTTCACCCCATGGACGATCCTCTGCTGCTGCTGAAGCTGATGCTCCCCAGCAGCCAGGTGGACCCCGGCTCCATACCTCCCCACCAGCTCTCCTGGCATTGCCAAATTCCCGAAACCTCCTAGAGCGCCCAGCCCTCAGATACAGCTCTTTCTTCTCTTGTTTCCCTGTGCCTTGGAGCTGGAGGAGATACTCTACCACAACTCCAAATAATCTAAGCGAGCTGCTCGTCCACAGGAGGGTGGACTGGGCGCCGGAGAAACACTCAGAACATCTCCTGGCTGTCGTCTGTGGCCTAACTGGGGACACTGATAAGGCCAGGCCCCCATGGCCTTGCCAAGGGAGTCTGTGTGCTATCTGTGAAGCATACCAGCAGATGCCCGCCACCCACGCTCCACACAATCACTGAATTTGCCCACCTGCTGCGTTGTCTCCATCACCTCCTAAGAGGCAGTGCCATTGGCTTGACTTTATTTTCATGTGTATTTTTAAAAGTAATACCCGCCCATCAAACAGCCCCTGGGAGCTTAAATGCTGGGCTCTAGGTGACCCTGGACCCGCCTGCTCCCAGGTCTGTGCCGCTGGTCTGGGACACCGTGTGGCTGGTCTGGGACACTGTGATAAAAGCTTCTAGCGCGTCGCCCGCTTGCCCCCTTGCGGCCATTTCTGTTCACTGCAGCTTCGTGAGCCCGCGGTCAGGAGCGCTGACGGGGACTCTCCCCGTCCCAAGTAGAAACTGCCTGAGCCCCGGATCCGATCTCTAGGATCCGGTCTCCGAGGTCGACAGCACACCGCCCTGGGAGCTCCCTCTGAGCCTCGGTGACCTCAACATGAACAACCAGAAAGTGGGCCTGGCCTGCCTGATTTCTTCACCACTTCCCAGGGAAGCGCTCAGTCAGTCCCTAAAACTATGAGTTCACCGCAGGTGACTAAACACCTTCCGGAAGCACCCCCAACAGCTGTGGGCCAGAACCTCCTCTCGGCAGAGCCCTGCCTCCCCTCTCTCTATGCGCCCCTTAGCTCCAGGCCCCTGCAAGACCCACACCCCCAGGTGACCACCTGGCTGGAAGGCTAGGGGTGGTTTTACCACGAAGCCCTGCCCCTTCCTTGTCCCTGCTGGTCCACACCCCAGGCAGCTGCCCTCCCTCCCCAGGTGTCTGCTCTGGGGCCCCTCCCCTAAGCCTGGGGAAAGCGCTTACCACAAGGACTTTGTTGGTGATGAGGTTTTCTGGGCGATCCGACCTGGAAAAATCAAACCATGCAAAGGCAAACGCTTCTTGCATTGACCTCCCCCTCCCGCCCATGTGGGGTCTGCCTGGGTGATGCTGAGGGCTCTGTAGGTCCTGGATAAGGTTCAGAGGGAAGGGGAGATGTTTTGCAGGAGGAGAGGAGAGGGGAGAGAGCAGGCATTGAAAACATCGGCCTTCCTCTGCATTTCCCTGAGAAGCCCCACCCCACACCCAACCTCTCTGGCAGAGGTACAAGATGGGGGACAGTCAGGCAGACTGACCACAGGGAGATCTAGGTCAGGGCCATTTCCTCAGACAGAGCCTGAGTCCCGAGACACTCCCTGGGCTGTGTGACATTACTCACGTTTCTTCCATCAGGAACTCCACATCCAACTCCTCCTCTCCCTGAAATCAGAGAGGATGAGCAAGTCATCAGCACAACCTATTTCTTCAGAGTTGACACAGTTCTTTTACAGGTGTCATCTCATCCTCTCAAGCAGTCTCTAAGGGAGGCACGTTAGTACAATTATTTCCAATTTACAGATGAGGAAACTGAGGCTACCTGCCCACATTGCCTGTGGCTAGTAAGTCTGCAGAGAACAGGTCTCCCTCCCTTGGAGGTCCCACAACTCTGGGCAAGACTGAAGGGGAAGACAAGGAGCACAGCCAAAGGAGGCATGATGTGCAGGACCCATTTGTTTTTCTTGAGGAGGGCCCAGACCCCCGAACTCTGCCGTCCCCACCCCCAGGCTGCAGCAGGAAGGCAGGTAAGGCCTTCACAAAGCAGGCCTTGGCACCACCAGCAGGAGTGATGGATGCTGAGCTGTGTTTTGAGGGGTGTTAGGAAGTTCTCCACCTCCCAAAGCCTTCCTGCCACCGGTGGCCAAAATTCCTCCACTGGGTGATTTAGCCTGATAACTGTAAAGCGAAGCCTTCTCCTTGCTTATTAAAATGCAAATATCCCTGGAAGGGGTTTAGATTTTCTGTGAATGAGTTCACCCCAGCAGTCTCCCAACAGGTGGGAGAAACAGCAACTTCCTCAGCTTGGAGTCAGAAGAAGTGCGGCCCACGGGGACTTCCCCACCCACCTGGGGACTCTGGGAGAAGGTTTTCCGGAGCAGCTTGCCAGGGAGGACTTCTGAGATATCATAGAGAACCTTGAAGCAGATGTCATCCTCCGTGATTGAGTCCTCATCATAGATGCTAAGTTCCAGAACATTCTAGGAACCAAGAACAGCGACTTAGCATTTTACCTGCTCATAGCGAGAGTAGCTCACCTCTGTTGAGCCCTTACTTGATGTCTAGAGCCACAGAAGATTATTATGCCCCCACTCTTCTGCACTTAAAAAAAAAAAAAGAACTGTAAAACTTAAATATAAGGAAATCTTATTAAATTTCAAATTTCCTCCTTCTAATTTTTGTTTTTATCAAACATAAAATTCTGAGCTGGACATGGTGGCTCATGCCTGTTATCCCAGCACTTTGGGAGGCTGAGGTGGGTGGATCACCTGATGTCAAGAGTTCGAGACCAGCCTGGCCAACGTGGTGAAACCCCATCTCTACTAAAAACACAAAAAATTAGCTGGATATGGTGATGGGTGCCTGTAATCCCAGCTACTCGGGAGGCTGAGGCAGGAGAATCCCTTGAACCTGGGAGGCGGAGGTTGCAGTAAGCTGAGATTGTGCCATTCAACTCCAGCCTGGGCAATAAGAGCAAACTCCGTCTCAAAACAAAAACAAAAACAAAACAAAACAAAACACATAAAAGTCTGTCAAAGAATTCTCTCTTCCTCTCTCTCTGTCTGTGTCTCTGTCTCTCTCCTTGGCTTCTCTGGCTCCCTGAGCTGCACCCTAAGGTATGTGCTGGTGACCTTCCACGGTCTTCCACACACAGTCTCATCTCACCCCACAGCACGACCCAGTCAGGAGGAGGCTCTTACTGTCTCTGTTTCATAGCTAGGCTTCGAGAGGAACCCAGCTTGCGGGAGTCAGTCCCACAGCCAGTTGGTGAAAGGACCATGTTCATGCTTTCATACATTCCCTTGCACACAGCACAGACGGGCCAGGCCACAGAGACCCCCTTCTCCTAAGAGTTTCTCTGACAGCCCCGGAGGAAGCATGCTCGACCCCAGGAACCCTCGCATGGGGGTCCGGCCTGTTCACAGGGAAGTGGCCAGGAGTCCCCGGCCTTCACCTTGACCTGACTTTGGATAAGGAAATGGAAGGCCTCATTCCACACAGGATGACTGGTGTCGGTGAGCGTCTTGGTCTTAAACTTCATTCCAGGCACGGTCGACAGCTGTAGGATCACGTACGGGTCGGCCTCACTCACTGCCAAGGTTAAGGAAGACTCCGTGAGGAAGCATTCCTCACACCCCTCTCCATGGGCCACGCCAGTTTCCTATCAAGACCCTGACAGTCACCACAGGTGACCCAGCCCAGCCCCAGGGTGCTCGTCTTGGCTCTTCCCATGGGATCCAGTCCTCCCTGCTCCCACCAGAGCGCACAGGGCATTTACTCACACAGGTCAGCCCTGCGCAGGTTCCGCGCCTCCAGGACCCTCACGGTGAGCTGCCAGCAGGCAGAGGCCTCCCACTGGAGAGAAAATCAAACTCCAGAGTCCTTCCCACATTCCCTCCCCTGTGCCTGGAGCTGCCGTGCTGCACCGGGCTGCCGACACCCCTCACCACTCTCCTGGCACTTGGCGGTGCCGACACCGACCGCTGCCAGGCATTCCGAGACAGCCTCTGGGGACCACACAGCCTTTGTCCACCTCTGTCTTTGGGGTCAGGGTTCTGGGCTGCAGCAGTCAGGGAATAGCAGCCCACCCAGGGTGGGATTTGTGGAACCCACTCCCCTTCAGGAACAGAGAAACATGGGGTAGTGGACAGAGCAAGGAACTGAGGGCCAAGGAGTGGCCACCACATAGGTCAGTTAGATGTCAGCCCTTCCCAGAGCTCCCAGGGAGGGCAGCCCTTTGGCAAAACAAGGGCTACCTTTGGTGACCCTACTGCCAGCACTGCCCACCCCTCAGCCCTTCCGGACAGGAAGCAGGCGCATGACTTAAGGGAGGCTGAGCCTCGGCAGCCCAGTCCACAGGTGCTACCCTGGATCTCAGCAATCTGCACTGTAAAGCGTATGAATGAGGAAACTCCAGGAGCATTGGGCCATCGTAGGGAGCAGTCGGTGCTGTGGGTGAAAGGCCACTACGTATTAAGATGCTGACGAGGCCATGTCAGCCACAGGCAGCCCAGGTGACAGGGAGAAGCAGCTGAGTGGGCAGAAGCTGGAGGAGAAGATGAACAGAGAGTAGGTGACAGGAGGGAAAGCGGATGGCCAGTGGGGCGTGACTGAGACCTGCTGGGGACAGAGCACTGGGGGTGTCCCCACACCCCACTGCTGAGGTCCCTGGCACTGTCAGGATCAGGAGGGTCCTGGGGTTTCTGTTCCTATGCCCTGTGGCACGGCTTCTTCTGGGTACCTAGCACAGGTTTCTTATAAGCCCCTTTGATGTGAAGTGACTCACATGGGTTTGGCAGGGCCAATGGCATTTTTTTCCTGTGGGCTGACCCCAAGGAAGGTTGCTGGCCTTGCATCCTCTTGGAAAGGAGCCTTCCTAGGAGGACCACCTATGGGGCACGTGGCCGCAGCAGAAAGAGCCCACGTACAGAAGGTCCGTTAGAACAGGGGCTATCAGGAATGAGCACTGCCTGTGCCAGGGGGTGGGGGAGTGGGAGCCCCCAGCCCGGAGGGGACCCTGCTGGGCCACAGGGTGGCAGGACCCCCAAGGGGCACCAGGCACATGAAGGCCTACGAAATGCTAAACGCAGGAGCCACGCAGTATGGCGGCCCTGCTGAAGAACACACAGACCACCTTCATTCCGGAAAAAAACACCCTGCTGGGGCTTCTGCCATTCAGCGGCTCTGCCACCAGGTTAGACTCCCCACCAAGTAAGTATGATTGTCTCAGACCCTTATATCCCTTCACCTCCTCCTCCCTGATCCTGAGGGAGCCACCAGGCCGTGCAGTGTTTGCACAGTGAACATTCGACATCACATGGCTGGGAGACTGTTGTGGCAAAACCAGAGCTGTTTCCTGCTTTGCGCTCTCCCATGACCAGACCCACTTCCACGCATGTGGTTGGAAGTTCTCGGTGCCTACCAGGACTGGTCTCCGCTCTGCACAGATGCTGCTTGCCAGGGGCTGGCTCAGCACCCACGGGGACCTGACTCTCCACTCACCACCAAAAACCATAAAGGACCATGGGCCATGGCGAAACCATATGCCTGGTGGCCCTGCCCCTGCATCTTTCCTCTCTGCGGTTCCATGCCAACATCCCTATCACTCCAGGCAGCTTTCCAGCACAGCATGCACGACCTCCCTGAGCAAGGTAGACTTGTTTCTCTCTTCCTGGGGATTAACTCCAGTGGCACCAGCAACATGTCAACTCTACAAACCTTAAGCCTTATAGATACTGTCAGCAGCAGAGATTTCATGAGCTTCGGGGCATCTAGTTCCATTTCCTCCCCTCACTCAGACTCCACTGTGGCCGGCCACAGGTAGCTCCATTTCCTCCCCTCGCTCAGACTCCACCACTGCTGGCCACAGGGAGGTGATGGCTGGGACACTGGGGCCCTGCAGGGTGTTGAGTTTCAATGTCCCACTCCAAGACAAGACAGGGGAAGGGCAGAGGCAGCCTGGCCTCGTTCCCCTGCTCCCCGGGGCCAGGCCGACACTCCACAGGTCCACAGCTTGTGGGCTGCTCTAAAGCCATTTGGGCTACTAAGAAATGGCCCCAGTTACTCACTGTCTAGCCAGTCACCATCCCGGGTTTAAGCACTGTAGTTCATTTCTCCCTGCCATCACCGAGAGCTTCTCAACCTCAGAAAGCCCATTCCCCGGCAAGTCATTTTCCCTAGAGAAATCCCAATTCTCTTCGCCTCTAAGATCATCGCTAACATGGAGTGCCCAGAACATGGTATTATTGCGACAATGATTACAATGTCTGGTCTTTACGGGGGCTTCAAGGCAGACTCTGGAGCCAGCTTGTCTGGATTTAAATCCTGGCCCTGCCACTTACTTGCTGTGTGACCTTGGACGAGTCACTAAACTTCTCTTTGCCTTTGTTTCCTCATGTGTAGTGGAAATAATAGCAGTTCTGACCTCACATAGTATTCTGAGGCTTAGAATGTTAATGCCTGCAGGCTGCTTAGGAATAAAGTAAAGTTTTTAAGTAACTGCTATTACTACTACTGTTCATTAAGTATTTGTCATGTTTCCAGGCACTGTGAATGTTGCAGATACCAAGATGCAATCAGTTTTGTCAGACCCCGACAAATTAGGGCTGGGAACACATGAAAGAGCAGAGCTCATGTTTACATGTCTGAGATGAGAGCTGTTTCCAAGGACTTTCTGCAAACCCCACAAAAAACAGCTTCACATCCTTCACGCATCCTTCGGCATCTTCATGCCGAAGTCCCTCTTCAGCAGGAAGACGGAAATGAGCAGACCTGCCCTGTCCCCTGCTGGCACCAGTGCCCTGTGGTGGGGCAAAGCAGGAGGTCAGAGAGAAGAGAGGTGGAACCCCTGGGCACAGCCCCTGGTCCTGGGGACTCAGTCCTGCCAATGCCAGTTGGAGGCGAGGTGCTTTCCAGGTGTGGGGCAGACTCAGACTCCAGAATCGCTGACACTTAGGCTTTTGTTTTACCCGGGAGCTAGACCTTGAGCAGGCTGAGGGAAAAGCGGGAAGGGGCACAGCCTTCGCCAGGGAGATCAACTGACAAGTTTTATCACTAGACATCCATTAGGACTGCAGTAATTCAGATAAGATGCCCTCAAAAAATACACATGCCCAGTAACAGCATCTCCACCAATGAACTAACAACTCTGGCTTTGAGCCTCCAGAACCAGTGAATTCTGTTTCCAAGCAGTTTCTGTGAGCCTCCCCTTTTTTTCCAGTGAAAGCTTCCCTTTCCCCTTCCCTCACCATTGCCCTGGCGGCCTGTCATTCGGCACATTCCGAGCCACAGTCGTTTATCGTTCCAGAGTAAACACAACATAGTTAGAGACCATTTTCTCTCGTGTCTTTCTGTGGGGTGACAATACTGTACTAAGCATGTTACCTATTGTAACTTTATTTATCCTCCCACAACTTCAAAAGACAGTACTCCCATTTCCTCCCGTTTTCTAGATGAGGGAATTGAGGCTGAGAGAGGCTAACTTGCCGAGGTCACAGAGTTAGCAGGGACAGAGTTGGAATTCAAACTTCGAGGCCAGAGCTCACAACCCGTCTATTCTCCCTCCCCAGGACTTTGCTCCTTTGGAAAAGCATGCAACTCTTCCCTCATTGCCCCACGGATATCTAGGATATCTAGACACTAGATTTTCATAGATTTGTCTAATTTGAGTAATAGATATTCATAGATTGGTCACAGATTTGACTAATACGATTACTGAGCTAACTGGCATAATTAACTGATAGGAATCTTTTCTCCTGAGGGCATAGGGGTGTCACCTTCCCTTCTGAAAGATCCTCCCATCTGAAATAGCACCTTAATTGATGACGAACCCAGAGGCTTCTGGAGGGCATTCATCAGCCCAGTCACCTGTAGGTGACAGTAACCTTAGCACACTTAGCCTCATTCCTGGCCACCACCTGGGGCACCGGACCAGGAGCCAGCCCTGCTGGCCTTGGTCCCTGGCAGAGGATGACAACTCTGGGCTTTGGAGAAACACGTGACAGAGGTGGGCACGAGCAGTTTGCAGGCCTCCCTGGCCTGGGTGCAGCCCCCAGCTCTTGGGCCTAGTAAATACTTGGCAGTGGGTGGGGATTTGGGCCCCCAGAGCTCCGGAGACACACAGGGTGATCCCAGGAGTCCAGCCAGTTCCAGGAAGTCTGCTGGCCTGTGGTGATGGGCTGTGGACCTGGTGGGTTTCCTTTTGTGACACACGCAGCCACTGTGTTCTCCGATGTTGGTGGGGGGGAGGTCCCTAAGGCCACTGCTGCGGTCACTGGTGGTGGCGAAAGGAAGCTCTGCTGGCCAGGCTCATGTTTCCCAGCCCCCGCATCTACGGATGCTGCCCACCCAGCCCACCCACTCTGCACCCCAAATCTCAGACTCCCTCGCCCTCTGGCCCAGTCTGGTAGAGACTGGAATCACCCTGATTCCAGCTACCACACTTCCCAGAAAGCACCCTGGCCCCAGGCCTGCCCTGACTGGTGCCCACATGCTCTGCAGACACTATTACCTGGTAAGGATGGCCAGGTGGTCCCCCAGGTGACAGACTCTCCATGCTAGCCCTTCCAGCTTCACTCCAGGCCCAGCCCTTGCCAAGATGCTAGCTCTCTGGCTGGGTGGCAGCGACGGTCCCAATGGGATGGGACCAGCGTGAATCTGCCAGCCTTCGATGAGCCACGATCCTATAAACAGGTTGGGGCTCCACCCCCAGGTCTCTCCTTCAGCCCTGCACCTGCCCCTCTTCCCCAGGAGGCTGGGTCAACCAGCATCTCCAGAAACCTCTGGCAGGGCTCCAGGACCTGCAGGTGGAGCACCTCTTCCAGACCTGGAGTTTCAGGACAGAAGACGCAGCCAGGGGGAGGCAGATGAGTCCTAGGAGTGGTGGCAGGAAGCTGGTTCCCCTGAGGCTGAGGGCAGAGGCTGGGGTAGGGGTAGAGCTGAGGAAACCCCCAGCCCCACCGGAGCCAGGGCAGCCTCTAGAGGAGGGGAGGGCTGAGCACCTGAGACTAGGCAAGGGGCCAGCCCTCCTGGGCAGCTCTGTGCAGCAGGGATCCCTGTCCAGGGGATGAAAACAAGAGCAGTCGTGGTGACAGGCCCAGGCTAGTACGTCCTCCTCACCTGACCTGAGCAGGCTCCAGGGAGCGGCAGAGGGGTCTGGACATCCCCCATCACAAGCCCCTCACCTCCATGCAGCGGGCCCTAAGAATTTAGGGGATTTCCATTAGACTTTGTAATAAAGGTGAGAGAGACCAATCAGGAGACTCTTAGGTTATGAAAATTGTAGAAGAAACCTTTGTGAGGCCACCTCACCATTCAGTGCATTCAGTGTGCACGAGAGCACTGAACACTCTCCTAAAATGACACGAATTCGGTCATTTTACCATCAATTCTGTATACAGTTGGACAGTGATGATTTGTTTTTCAAAGCAAATGAAACTGAGTTAATGTTAAATTACTACAAATGGATCTCAAATATATTAGAGTTGGCCAAAACAGAAATCTAATGATCTATGAACAAGTAAACATTATTTGGATGGAAATACCTGTCATTTGCATGAACCAGATATAAAATCCAATAAAAAAGTGAATGGAGTGGTTGAGCATGGTGGCTCATGTCCGTAATCCCGGCACTTTGGGAGGTCGAGGAGGGAGAATTGCTTGAGGAGGAAATGGAGACCAGCCTGGGCAACATGGTGAGACCCTCATCTCTACAAAAAATTTTTTCTAAATTAGTGGGGCATGGTGGCACATGCCTATGGTCCCAGCTACTTAGGAGGCTGAGGTGGAAGAATTGTTTGAGCCCAGGAGTTCAAGGCTGCAGTGAGCTATAATTGCACCTTTGCACTCCAGCCTGGGTAACAGGGTGAGACGCTGCCTCTTTAAAAAAGAAAAAAAAAAAAAAAAAGGAAGTAAGTGTAAGATGGAGAAAACTACAAAGGACAACTTATTTCAAGTGGGTCACAGACAGAGCGATACAGAAAGTCACCCAGCTGGTGACTGGAAAGGCTGGGATTGTACTCTCTATCCTGAAGCCCACTCACCAGAACTTCCCTGGTCCTTGGTGGCCTCCATTGTTTAGGCCTGTTCCAGAGGAATCCTGGGACCTTAGGAGTCTTGATTAACCTCCATGCCCGTCATCTCCATACGCCCACCGGGATCCACTGGGGGAGCCTAGGGAGGCAGAGCTGTAGCAAGACGTTCCATGAGGTGACCTCAGCCCCAGCACCCCACTCCAGTATGGGAGGGCCAGGCACCCCCTCCCTGCTAGAGGACAGCTGGGCATGCCTGGAGGAGGGCATGGTGCTCAGTTTCCCCACCTGTGCAATGATGGTGTGGTAGATACTGGGCCTGGTGAAAACCACGAACTTCCTAATTCAGAGATTCTTAATTTGGGGCTAGGGTCCATGGATGGGAATTAGGATAGTTTTAACCAGCCCTGAAATTGTATAAAACTTATGTGATTATGTATGCATGTGTGAATGTTTCTAGAGAAGGGGGTCTAGAACAGCACTGTCCAGTAGGAATGTTTGGGAGCTCTACAGATGTTGTATTAAACTTTCTAGTGGCCACACAAAAAGATGTAAAATGATACAGGTGAAATTAATATATATTTAGCCCAGTAATCTAAGGTATTATCAATTCAACATGTAATCAACATATAAAATTATTAAGGAGATATTTTACTCTTTTTCATACTAAGACTTCAAAATCCACTGTGTTTTATGCTTGCAGCACATCTTAGTTCAGCCCAGCCACATTTCCAGAGTCCAGCAGCTGCGTGTGGCTACAGCCTACCTTACCAGAGAACTCAGGTCTATAACTTTAATCAGACTCTCAAAAAGAGTTTGAAATAGATGGGAAACCATTGCTCAACAGGTCACATGTGGCTACCCCCACTTGAAGAGAGCCGCAGGGTTCTACACGGATGAGAGGAAATATTTAGGATGCTCCCATCACAGTTTCCATGAATTATGTGCCAAGACTTAGGGTTTTGACACATGGTGGAGACCCAAGGTGGGAAGGCGGAAGCACCCGGAGCAGAGAAGCACAGTGGCTGGCCTGAGGCTGAAGTCCTAAAGATCTCCCCACTCCAACCCTCCAAGGGCTATGAATAGGGCACTATGAATAGGGATCAGAGCAAGAACGACAAAGGTCGGGACAAGAAGACAGAAGATAGGCAGAGGTGACCTGGAGGCAGTCAGCCTGGAACAGGGCTGGCAGGCACAGCGGGGCTGGGCTGAGGCCACATGCTGCTCACCCAGGCCAGGGGGATCCTCAAAGGAGGGCCACGCCTGGAGAGCCCATCAGAGCAGACCTGACCTAAGCAACCACGCCGGAGGAGGTCTTGGGCGCCATGCTTTCTACTCTCTCATCCCTCTCCCTTGCCGGGTATCCTTCCCACCACTGTCTCTCTCAACGTTTGCTCTACACTCACAGTAAACAAACATCATTTTTTCATGCGGCACTCAAGGCTCCTTTAATTTCCCCAGATTTTCTCTGGAAATCAGCCCTCCCCTACTCTCTTTCCCCTTGGTTTGGGTGCTGTTGACTCCACCTCCAGCTGCAAAAACACAGCATGTGGTCCAAGGCTGGCCAGTCAGCTCCTGGAATCTTTCTGACCAAGGTATTTGGTTCATTGGACTCATGACTCCAGCTGGTGCAATCACAATAAATGCTGGTGCATGAAGTTCTGAGAAAGACACTTTGTCTTTCCTGCTGGGCAGAACTTGGGAGGATATGAAGCTGGGCCTGCTAAATGTATCCATATTGCCACCACCAGAGGAAAATCTGTCAGGAAAATGGAGCCAGTAATGATAAATACCTGTATAACTAACACTTCCTATGTGTCAGGCAGAGGCAGCTTTATTGTGCAGGTAATGATGCTTAAGCTGGGTCTTCTCCTTGCACACACACGCCCTTCCAAGGCTCCAAAGGGAGCCCTAGCAGTAGATTCTTGTGATCACACATTTTAGTAAAATTCACAGTAGTAAACGATTGTATCCACAATTGGTAAAGACTGCTGTCTTCCCATTCCTACACTTCTGTTAGCACTGGTGTGGCTATAGATATTTTTAGGATCTGGTTAAGGAGAGGTTGAGTTAGAGGCATGTTTTATTTCAGTTTAGTGAGATATATTTATGGGATTTGCAGTCAGCTTCACATATAGTGAAGTCAGCTTCACGTGTAGTCAGCTTCATGTATAGTGAAGTTCACTGTGATGTGGGTGTGTCCTTTGGTGCCAGAAGAATTGGATAGAGGAAGAGAAACGAGGTCTGAAATATCCAGAGCCAGAAACCAATCTGAAAAATTCCTCCAATCCAACACATGACATTATAAGTGGAAGACCTGGTTTTCCTTGACACCTGATCAAAACAGAAACTCTCTCTCTCGAAAAGGGTGTTTCCCATCATGTCTTGAATGCATGTTTTCCTTTATCTGAGGGTAATTTTAAGAAATATTAATAGAATATGTATCGTGATTCCTATACTACAGCAGCTAGCACAACACCTACAACAGCTTATACACCAAAGAAGCTTGATAGAGGCTGCGGCAGATTCTGTTTTCCAATAATGGTTGCACCAATGTCTCCTGTCCATGCTCTTCCAGCACCTGCCACTCCCCATCAAAAAATAGAGGCCAACTCCCCTTCTCTTAAATCTGGTGGGCTTGTGATTGGTAACTTACAGGATGTGAGAAAAGTGACTGCTTGACTCCCCAGGTTAGATCGTAAGGTGATGCAGCTCTCTTTTTTAATGGCTAGAACACTCCCCCTTAGAGCCCTGAGCCACCAGGTGAAACACCCAGCTCCCCTGAGGCGGCCATACTGTTGGGAAGCCCAGTCATACGGACAGGCCACCAGTGGGCGCTGGAGTCAGCAGCCCTAATTTCCCGCCAGCCCAACCCAGGCTCCAGACCCATGGATGAATGAGCCTTCCCATGATTTTAGCCCCAGTGGCTGGGTCACCCCTAGCCAGGGCTCTTTCTGAATTTCTGACACACGAAATATCTGTGAGCCTGACAGAGTGGTTGCTGTGTTATGCCATTACATTTTGGGTGATTTATTACATAGCCATAGTAAGTAAAGCAGAGGTTTTCCATAATTGGCAATGATCCTGAAGTTTTATGTAACATTACCTGTAAAGAATTATGAAGCTGAAAGAAACAATAATGAACTACTATTAACTATGAATAATTTTCTAAACATTCCAAACCACCAGACTAGAGGAAAGATTGCTACCTATTTGCACCAAAGAAAATGATATTACAAAATTGATATTGTTATATAGCAAGGAAGAAATAAAAAAAAAAAAAACACCTCACAAAATGGGTGTTGAACAAAAAGGCAATCAAGGTATATTCAGGCAAGTAGTGGAGGGAGAAGCCTGGAGGTGTGCCTGGCAGCTGATTCACACAAATATCATGGTGTTTTGTTGTTGTTGTTGTTGTTTGAGACGGAGTCTCGCTCTGTGGTCCAGGCTGGAGTGCAGTGGCATGCTCTCAGCTCACTGCAACCTCCACCTCCCCAGTTCGAGTGATTATGGTGTCTCAGCCACCCCAGCAGCTAGGATTACAGGTGCGCACCACCACGCCTGGCTAGTTTTTCTGTTTTTAGTAGAGACAGCGTTTCACCATGTTGGCCAGGCTGGTCAAGAACTCCTGGTCTCAAGTGATCTGCCCGCTTCAGCCTCCCAAAGTGCTGGGATTACAGGCGTGAGCCACTGCACCCGGCCCGTATCATGGTATTTTTAAAAATTTTGTGATATTTTGGAATTTATCGACCTTTTAAAATTTGAATTTTTGTGTGATTTATTTTTATCGTTTGCAAAGAATATTAACTTTTGTACCTAACTTTGTGTCAACTTGTATAACCTTCAGGCTCCATAATACACAGCCCTGTGTCACACTGTTCAAAGCACTCTATACAGAGAACATCGTTCTTTTATCTACAATTGGTGAAGCTGGCTGTCTTCCTGTTTCTGCCTCTCTGCCGACATTGGTGTGGCTATGGATGTTTTTAGGATCTGGCTAAGGAGATTCCCCAAGCCCTGTCAGGTGGGGAACTTTTATTATCCTCATTCTACAAATGAGAAAACGGAGGCAGGAGTTGGTTGATGAACTGCCCCCAGGTCACCCTGGGAGTAGAGCCCAGAGGCCACAGCAC